TGCCAAATGTCTTATAAATTGAGTTGGATCTTTTTTCTAATTGATCTCTTTATTTCTAAGTTGAAATGATGGTCTCTCTTCCTGTTATAGCCTCCTGATCCAGTTTTCCTCTCTACTGTTCCCTCTTTATAAAACTTATTCACCGTTGTCTTGATGGTTCTTGAATGAACGTTGAAGCCAAAGTATGAATGTTGGTACCATTACTAAAGGCCTGAATGATCTTTTTCTTTTTCATCATTGCTCAGTTGGGAAGACAGTGGGCCTGATACAAAACAATTTTAACCTGCTCTCTTTTTAGCTAAATAACTCAAAGGGTTTTCAGTTATTCTTACGGAAAATGGCGTCAAGATGTCTTATCTGAAAACCTGGAAAAAAAGAAATCCAATTAGTTTAGTGTTTTTTAGATATTAAACATTTTGTGAGATGTATAATTATGTTGTTACACGATTTAGAAAATTTTGCAGTTGCACCCGATATATATGATTGTCTCTCCCGTCGATTTGGGATTATGAAGTCCCAAAAGATCAGTTCAGAACTGAGCTGCAAAGACAAACTACACAGATGATTTGATTATTTTCGTGACGGCTTGTGTCAAACGTTCTTCACTTTTCGGAAGAGCTGATAATAGAGAAATGATGCACAGTCTGCTAGGAAATCTAAGAACATCCCTCTTCATGTTTTATTGTCGAAGAATTTAACATCTGCAGAATAATGGCAAAACCTAAAAACTTAAATTTTAAAAAAGATCAAAACAATTTTCGTAAAAGTTCGTGATCCATTGAAAAAATAATTTCTTAAGTCAATACTATTCATAAATATCTTAATTAAATAATGTCTTAGTTTTATTGCATTTTTTTATTTTACGATTCAGAGCAGATTTTCTTTAACTGGGGTACTGTTTTACAAAAAGAAATTGATGATTTAAATTCTCCAATGACTTGTCCTTAAAAACAATAATCTCTACAAAATAGATTTCTCTAAATTTCATAAAATAATTTAAGTGGGGCGTAAGAGATGTAAAAAATATTTTTACCAAGATTTTCTAAAAGAAAAAATAATTTCTAAAATAATTTAATTCATTTGGAGATAAATTCTGAAAGTTTCCTTTAAATTCAGCAATATTTTGTTTTGGCAAGAATTTCCAAAACAATGTCAAAATTAAAACTAAAAGTAAAAGCTTCAAGAAAGATTTTTCATTTTAAATAATTAATTTTAAACCATAAGTATCGTTTTTCTTTATATATATATATATATATATATATATATATATATATATATATATAGAGAGAGAGAGAGAGAGAGAGAGAGAGAGAGGAAATAAGAAGAAGAATGAGATGGAAAGCATTCTTCTCCTTCGAGGGAATAACTTAACAAAAAAAATAACATGTGGTTTACGGCTTTAAAAGTAAAAAAAAATTGCACCATTTAATAAAAAACTACAGGAATTTGAAAACCTACTCAATATAATCAATAACATCTCTTTTCAAAAAAAGAAAAGCAACTTCCAAAATCATCTAGACCAAATAGTTAAAAGCATCAACGACAGCGATAAAATACTAGTTAAGTCCGACAAAACGGGAAACTTCTACAAATTGACGGCAGACGACTACAACAAATTAATTTTAAAAAATTTAACTAAGACTTATAAAAAAGCTTATAATAACAATATTAATATGGTAGCCAGTATCAACAGAACTAGTAAATTTATTACTGAAAAATTAAAAATAAGCGATAGGGTAGGCAAACTAGCTGAAAAGGAATACTACATCACTCTTAAGGACCACAAACAAGATTTTGAGGAAGACCCCACTACTAGAATGATAAACCCAAGCAAACCCGACAAAGGAAAGATAAGCAAAAGAATCCTAGAAAGGATCACTAGGCAAATCAAAAACTGCCTTGGATTAACACTTTGGATTAATATCAAAGAATTCATCAATTGGTTTACCAACATCATCAATAAGCCTGATTGCACCCTAATACAATCCCATATTGTGGATTATTACCAGTCAATATCAAGAGATCTATTCACGACTGCCCTGGAGTTTGCTACGGTATATTCTGACTTAACCAAGGAAGAAATGAACATAATTCTTAGTGCAAAAAATTTGTCCTCACTCTCTATGGGTACCAATGAATTAAAAACACTAATGACAATTTTGACATCACCATGGGAACTTTAGACTCTGCAGAGTCTTCTGATACTATACAATCTAACCGCGCATCGTGAATTAGACATTAAGGATATCGAGCTATACAGGGATGACGGGCTCATGGTAGTGAGGAGCTCCACAAATTTTAAAATAGATAAAATTAGAAAGATAATATATAGTGAATTCAGAAAAATAAATTTAAAAACTACAGTCAGTACTAAATTAAAAGGGGTAAACTTCCTCGACGTAACTCTAGACTTAATGAACAACATATAGAAAACCTAACGCTAACCCCTTGTATGTACACCCTAAGTCAAACCACCCTCCACCTATAATTAAACATATACCCACATCAATAGAGAAAAAATCAGCATGAACTCCGCTAATAATGAAATATTCCAACAAAACAGTAATCTTTATAACACAGCCCTAAAAAAATAGCGGATACTAAAACGCTAATATAAACTATAGAAGCACCTTAAAATTAAGTTACAGTTGCACTGAAAATCTAGAAAGAATCATAAAAAACATAATAATAAAATCCTGGGAAAACACGCATGCCAAAACAATATTAATAAAAATACTAAACTAAAATTAGACAAAAATAATGTGATTGTAGAAACCCTGAAGACTGCCCGTTGGAAAATAAATGCCGCACAAAATCTGTGGTATACCAATGCACTATCTCATCCATTGAGAGTCCTAACACTGAAAGGATATACATTGGTTCAACGAAAAATGAATTTAAAATTAGATGGAGACAACACAAAAGCTCCTTCAATAATATTAGAAATAGAAATCGGACATCTCTATCCAAATATAAAAGAAATGAATAAAACACCAAAAGTAAAATGGAGAATAATAAATAGAACAAGAACTTGTAAAACCTGGGGTGACCTATGCCCTATATGCCTACATGAAAAACTACACATTATTAAGTTTCTAAATAATGAAAATTTATTAGACCATAGACATGAGTTAATGGTTTTTTGCCGACATCAACAAATTTTCGCATTAAATAATTAGCATAAAAAATTAAATTTCATAGTCTAATAAAAGGTTTAAAAGCTTAACCCAGTCATAAAATAGAAAAACCGTTTATGAAGTCATCAAAAAAACAAATTGTAATTCAGTGCGACGCTTTTATGTACGAAAGAGCCATTTAGGAATAAATAAATAAAATAAAATTCTTTAGACACTTAACGACGTATTATGGTGTCAACAACTATCTGTCGCTGTGACTGAACAGGCGATGTGCGTACCTGAATCCCATCATTCGCTTTGAAATGGACACCCCGGCCCTGCCTCGGCTTGACCTCTTTCGGAAGGTGACTGATATGTGGATAAAAATTAACTCTTAGGCCCCTTATCAAAATGGTCGCCCCAAGCGTTTCCATAGTAATTAATTTTGCGAATGAACATGCTTATAAAGATGCGTAAATTTCAAGATTGGTTATTCCTAAATTTTCGCTTGAGGATGAAACGAGGCTTGATACTTTAATTCAATTTAATTTTAATAATTATATTGAGGTTTTCGGCTCTTGTTTTTGAAACATGAGAATTTTTATGTAGCGAAGGAATCATATTTTTTTTAAATAATTATAATATATATATATATATATATATATATATGTGTGTGTGTGTGTGTGTGTGTGTGTGTGTGTGTGTGTGTGTGTATATATATATATATATAGGCACGGTCGTGGTGAAAAGTTCTCAGGCCTACCAACTTCTCAAAATCTGGCCGAATAACTAAACAACAAATAATTTTTAGAAGAGCAAGAAGTCGAAACATTTCAGCAATTCTTCTTATATAATGAGTTCTTAACACAAAACCAAAACCAGTTTACAATACAGAAAATCAGGACTTATTCCTTTTAATTCTGGGACACTGTGACGATCTGAGAGCGATTGAAATTAAGATGAAAGAAGTACTTGTCAAAAATGAATAATGATTAATATTGCTACATCTAATAACAAAATTCAGGGTCATATTATTACATAAGTTACACTAGCGGTTGAATAGATACAATGAAAGGCAAATAAAATTACTATGAAATGAGAGTCAACAATCAATAATGGTTGGCGATGCTTTATCTAATAATATTAATAATAATTTAAGATCTTGTTACTTCAGTGAAATGAAATTGAACACCTTTTTTATGTTGGAATAAAAAAGCAAAGATAATCTTTCACTTCTGAATGAAACGAAAAGACTTATTGAGTTATGACTAATGTTAGCTACAAGTTCTTGAACAGCAAATTATTCCTATTTACTAAACATATCTCATTCTGGCACAAGGCCATAAATTTGAAGCACCTAATGAAGACCAACTTCGCCAAAAAATGTCTGTGTAACTAACCATGGCACTAATTATAGGCACGTGGTCGAGTGGTTAGAACGTTCGTTTTCTCACCATGAGAATCGGGTTCGAATTTAAGCATGGGCGATTTGAAAGGTGACTTTGATTTTATCGGTATGGAGGGAGACGATCCCAGCGTGCGGCACCTTAGGAAAATGCCTGGAAACTATACCCAAGCCTTGTGAGTGAAATTGAGTAGACGGAGCCGTCGATGGTTGTGCTAGCATGAAGTTACAAGTCATCGTGACCGAGTGTTTGAGCGCGTGCTGGCTTTGTTCAGAAAGTTAATAACGCACACTCTCCTAAAAACTGGAACTAAGGTCGGCTCATCATAGTTGCAGTATAAACCACAAAGGTGGGGATGTGGGTGTTGAACAAACATAAAATGTTCCTAGGGATTAGCTAGCCGGCCTAGTAGACTGGCAAACTCGGATACGAATGGCTGCGACACTTACAACTGAGGATGGCCTACATCTGGAATAGGATGACAGGAGAAGAATTCCCTAAGCGCGACTTTATTATTGAACCAACCTTTCTTCTTTTGTTCTGTATCGAGTCCTTCAGGGCGTCGGCGATCCAGGCTCTCTGATAGGAAAAGTAATATCCAAGATCTTCAATTTGGTTTGAACACCTAACCTCAAGTATTGATGGCAAGTATGTAACTACCTCAGCCAATTTTCAATTCTTTTTTGAACACAGCCTTGCCGTTTGAGGTTCTTTGTGTACGCTCGCGCGTACACGCACGTGTGTGTGTGTGTGTGTGTGTGTGTGTGTGTGTGTGTGTGTGTGTGTGTGTGTGTGTGTGTGTGTGTGTGTGTGTTTGAAGCCGGCTATCAAAAAAATGGTGTCGCCCAAATAGTGATGGTGACTTGACTTGAACTAATGATTCATTTATCCCCCCCACCTCAAACTCCAAACCGAAAACAAAAAACAAAATAGCCATAATGGTTGATTCCGGATCAAGAAGGATTTCAGAGCCAATCCTAAACACAGGGCATTGACCTCATAATTAGTTACTTCAAAAGACATTTTCATACCACCTCTCTCTCAATTTCTTTCTTTCTTTCTATCACACCCGCACACATACTCCACACACTATTTGTCAGTGTGTCTCTCTTTTCAAACTTAGCATGTCACTGCCTTTTCATTGGTCCTTCATTATACCTCTCTCTTTTACCCTTCAATCGCTTTGAATTTCTCTCACTCTCTCTCTCTCTCTCTCTCACTCACTCTCTCTCTCTCTCTCTCTCTCTCTCTCTCTCTCTCTCTCTCTCTTCGCCCCTTTTCTCATCATTCGTCGGTAACACTCGTTACCATTTTGCCGTAGAATAATGATTATTGTTCTGTTCTTGAAAATTATGGTTAGCAAGTTCGATCCCCAAAGTGGCTACTGTGTCAAATGTCAGCCATCATTTTAAGTGAAACCTCGAAACATTCTAGGTTAACATTCTAATTCCGAATAATGGCTCGGGACGAAAAGTCGGAGTGTTGAGTTCGTATTCCAGTCAGATTCGTTATATTCACTTACGCGCAAATACCCTTAGGTACCCGTATGCATACCCGTATGAACCCATCTCTTCACTCCCCGCTATGGGTTAAATCCTGGTACTTCTATCTGGAAAAAAAATCATCATTATTCTTAAAAAGTTCTAATACAATATTCACTCGCAAAAAAAGAAAATTATCCTTACAATCCAATATGTTTCGAATTTAAGTAACCCTCAAAGTATTGATAATCTGTAAAAAAAAAAAACAAATCACCCTAATTCCGAAAATTAGAGCTAATGAGTATATTCTTCGATAGGTGTTCAACTATTATAACCTTGTACCATGTTTGGCTTTAACTAAAATGCCTTCACAGTACCTTAAGTCTTGTTCCAACACAACTAGATTTGTTTTATTGATTCGTTTCCTACGGTTTATCAACCCTTTGCAGGTTATTTAAAGCAAGAAAAAACTTTTTTTGAATTGTAAGAAGTTTTTTGAGATAATAATGATTTAATGATACAAGTTTTAACCCATACCTGGGGGGAAAAGAGGTGGATTCATGCCTTTCACGAGGGTATTTACGCATAAGTGTATATAACGAACCCAATTGAAATTGCAACTCTATTAAAAATTCCGAGCCAATATCCATTACACCACCCGCACATCCAAACTTATAACACCTGGTATTCCCCATCAGCCACCCATCTTAGTACTGACCAACCTCGATATTGCTTAACTTTGGTGATTGAACGGAAACCGGTGTTTCAACATCATATTGCTTTAAGCCGAGCTAGATTTGTGTTTTAAATATTTGAAATTAAAGGTTTCAGTTGAAAAAAAAAAGAGTCAAGAGATGGTATTAGTGATGGAGAAATTATCCGTTTCCATATAGGAAATATTCGGCGTTCATTAACCAATTTGCTTCTGACTGATACGTCTCTCTTTTACCCTTCAATCGCTTTGAATTTCTCTTTAAATAGTATTCTTACTCTTCCTTCTTCCTACTCTCTCTCTGTCTCTCTCTGTCTCTCTGTCTCTCTCTCTCTCTCTCTCTCTCTCTCTCTCTCTCTCTCTCTCTCTCTCTCTCTCTCTCTCTCTCTCTCTCTCTCTCTCTCTCTCCCTTCGCCCTTTTCTCATCATTGTTTTTTCTCCCTCTTCCTCGTTTTTCTCGCTTTTCCTTTCTTTCCTCGTTTTTCTCGCTTTTACTTTTGCCGTTTTTTTTTATAATTTTTCCATCTCTTATTTATTTCTACTTTCTTCGCATCTCTCTCTCTCCCTCCCTCTCTCAAATATTTTACTTCTATTTCCCTTTCTCTCAGCTCCAGCCGTTTTCACTCTCGCTATTTTTCCTCTCATTTTTTTTCTTCAGCATCTTCTCCCACTTAATTTTCCCTTTCTTTTTCTTTCTTTCTTTCTTTCTTTCTTTCTTTCTTTCTTTCTTTCTTTCTTTCTTTTCTAACTTTTACGTTCTCCTTCCTTATTACTTTATTTTCTTGTTTTCTTTATCTCTTTTTCATTTTCTTTCATTATATTTTTCTCTGTCTTACTCTCTCTCTTCTCAAATAATTATTTATTTTTACGTTCTGTTTTTCCCTGTTTTTTTATCTTTTGCTGCATTTCATTAATAAAATTTTCATTCATTCTTTACAATTACTTTCTCTCTATCTCTCTCTCTCTCTCTCTCTCACACACACACACACACACACACACACAGTATCTCTTTCTTTGTTAATTTTAACTTGTTCTCTTCTTTTCCTCTCCTTTTTCTCATGTCTTTCTTTCTTATTTTTTATTAATTTTCGTTTTTCTTTAGGCTTTCCTTTTCTCTTCTCCTTTATCTTTATCTCCCCCCTCTCTCTCTCTCTCTCCCTCTCTCTCTCTCTTTCTCTCTCTCTCTCTTTCGTTCTTTCTTTTCTCACACCTCACTTTAGTCTGTTTCTATCTTTTTTTCTCGCTTTTTTTTTCTTTCTCCTTTTCTCATTCTTCTGTTTTTCTTTTCTCTGGCTGTACTTCTCTTTGGCTAATTACATCCCTCTTTATTTTATTTCTCATCTTCTTTTCTTTTTTTCTCTTTTCTCTCTCATTATTCCTTTTTCTCTATTTTCCTCTACTTTCTTCCCGTCTTTCAGCTTTTTTCTTTCTGTTCTCTCCGACTTCCTCTTTCTTTCTTCTCCCTCTCTTTGTCTTTCAGCCTTTCACTATCTTTCGATTATTTCTTCCATTTCCTTTCTCATTCACTGTTCCTATTTCTTCTCTTCTCACTCAGTCTCATTCTTTCTATCAACTACTTCCGGTTTTCTTAAGCCCTCTCTCCTTTTTATATATTCTACTTGCTCTCCACCTTCTCTCTCTCTCTCTCTTTCTCTCTCTCTCTCTCTCATTTCCACAACCCGCCTTCACACCCACATCTTCTCAGACTCAAATGCTCACTCACCGTTCCCTTTCCAAAACCTCATAACCGTAATTTGTGCAAATTCCGACTCTTTCAGGAACAGCACAAGAGTCCTCGTCTCCAAGCTATTCCGTCTTTACTTACCCTTAACGGCAAATATAATCAGTCACTAATTGCCAATCCAAGTATTCCATTCTCTTCAGACCACACTTCTTGCCCTTCACTAAAAGTTATCAAAGAGAAACGGGGATTGCAAGAAAACAGGCTCTTCTACCCGTCCACCCACTCCTCTTACGTGAATCGACTTGACATGCCATAAAGTTTCCGTTCAAATAATCCGAAACTCGTCACAGCTTAGAAAATGATCGGTAACACTCGTTACCATTTGCCGTAGAATAATGATTATTGTTCTGTTCTTGAAAATTATGGTTAGCAAGTTCGATCCCCAAAGCGGCTACTGTGTCAAATGTCAGCCATCATTTTAAGTGAAACCTCGAAACATTCTAGGTTAACATTCTAATTCCGAATAATGGCTCGGGACGAAAAGTCGGAGTGCTGAGTTCGTATTCCAGTCAGATTCGTTATATTCACTTACGCGCAAATACACTTAGGTACCCGTATGCATACCCGTATGAACCCATCTCTTCACTCCCCGCTATGGGTTAAATCCTGGTACTTCTATCTGGAAAAAAATCATCATTATTCTTAAAAAGTTCTAATACAATATTCACTCGCAAAAAAAGAAAATTATCCTTACAATCCAATATGTTTCGAATTTAAGTAACCCTCAAAGTATTGATAATCTGTAAAAAAAGCAAAACAAATCACCCTAATTCCGAAAATTAGAGCTAATGAGTATATTCTTCGATAGGTGTTCAACTATTATAACCTTGTACCATGTTTGGCTTTAACTAAAATGCCTTCACAGTACCTTAAGTAAATGATTAGTCTTGTTCCAACACAATTAGATTTGTTTTATTGATTCGTTTTCTACGGTTTATCAACCCTTTGCATGTTATTTAAAGCAAGAAAAACTTTTTTTGAATTGTAAGAGGTTTTTGAGATAATAATGATTTAATGATACAAGTTTTAACCCATATCTGGGGGGAGAAGAGGTTGATTCATGCCTTTCACGAGGGTATTTACGCATAAGTGTATATAACGAACCCAATTGAAATTGCAACTCGGCTCTCCTATTAAAAATTCCGAGCCAATATCCATTACACCACCCGCACATCCAAACTTATAACACCTGGTATTCCCAAGCAGCCACCCATCTTAGTACTGACCAACCTCGATATTGCTTAACTTTGGTGATTGAACGGAAACCGGTGTTTCAACATCATATTGCCATAAGCCGAGCTGGATTTGTGTTTTAAATATTTGAAATTAAAGGTTTCAGTTGAAAAAAAAGCGTCAAGAGATGGTATTAGTGATGGAGAAATTATCCGTTTCCATACAGGAAATATTCGACAGACTGAAATTTTTCAAATCCTTGTTTTAAAACTGTTTTACAGAAAATGGAATATGTCAATTTCACTAGTATTGCTGTTTCTAATATTGAACCTACGCACTAATACCCATGGGAAATATATAAATCCATCTCCTCCTCCCAGCTATGGGTTAAACAATAGAACTTGAATCTGAAAAATCATTATTTTCAAAAAATTGTTAAAATTACCGGAATGGCTGTTATAACCATAACACTATAAAATATGCAGATGACGTAGAAAAAAAATGTAAGAACTATTATATGGTAGCCCAGGAAAGCAAAAAGAAAGGATTAACTGTTAACTGTAAGAAGACAGAATGCAACAGCCGAAACGAAGTCAATGAATTAAAATAGTAAAGGAAAAAATAATGCTAAAAACTTTGAATTAAAAGAAAAAAAATGTCTTTAGAAAAAAGAAAAGTCTGCTCAACTGTTATGTAATATTTAATCTTCTATCTGGCAGTGAAATTCTTCACAGATAGAGAAGTGACTTGAAGCTTGACATGTAGTTCTAACGACAAATGCTAAGAATACCACGGACAGAACATATGAGCCACGAGAAAGATTTAAAGGAGAATATGAACTAAAAGGAAACTGACGCTAACAATCAGAAAGAGACGGTTGAAATTTCCGGGAATTATAATGAAAAAAAGAATAATAATAAAAGAAAGCTTGGAGTGTATAACACTCATAGGATATATTGATGGCAAAAGAAGCAGGCGAAACAGAGAGTTGTATAATTAATGAACCTCTGTGAATATTAGATAGCACAGGGACAAAGTGGGATGATAAAGTGGCAAAAGTTACTTCAAGCAAATGAAACGAGGAACTTGTGGAGAGCTATAATCATCCACGTTCTGAAAATTAAATTGCAAATAAAAAAGATCTAGCATAGGAATTTGTGAATCTAACAGAAGTGGTATTAGTAGTGTTTCTTAGAATCTGAATGTGAAAAAGAAAGAGATTAAGGTAGCCTATGATGTCAAAGGTGGGGGTAATAGAATGAGGAACAGGGCAATGACTTCTTTAGTGAATGACGTAGGCGAAGATCGAGTAGTAGGACACACAATCGCACTCATAATGACATCTCTGAACAAAGAGGAGCGACTGGAATTAATAAACTCTAGATTGAATACCCAAGGATTATCCTTGAAATGGGCATAACAGAGGATAGGTTGAACGTTAAATAACAAATAGAAAGAAAAAAAGAAAATATTCTGTAAATATTGAAACAAAGGAAGATGAAGAGAACATAAGTTTTTCCAAGAGTGGAATGCGAAAAATAAAAATAAAAAGAGAAATGACATATATTCTATGGTTTCGAAAATAATGGCTACCTATACAAATTCTAAGATGAAAAGAAAGCTGAATATTATGTATATCTGTTGAGGATTTGAATCAACCCACAACAAAGAAAAAGACGTGAAAGGTTTTTAAATATAGAAATATAAATATTTTTATTTTCGTGTTTTTACAACTCAATTTTTTTCAGCGTGTATGAGTGTTAAATTTCTTGCGTTAAATTCTTTGTTTAGAGGCAAGTGTGAAAATGAAGAGGAAAGTGTAACTTGGTGAGGAATATAGCTTGATGAGGAAGAGTGTACGTGACACGTAGCTTGGTGAGGAAGACGTATACGTGACACGTAGCTTGGTGAGGAAGAGTGTACGTGACACGTAGCTTGGTGAGGAAGACGTGTGAATGAGTAACGAAATCTCTGTTAAGCCGTGGTGTTGTGAATCTGTTGCAGTATGTTGCCGCTACTTCTCCTTACTGGTTTTGTCCGTCTAGAGACTTTACTTAAATAATCTTCAAAGTGATTCCGAGGCATATTTTTATATTGTCGGTTGGAAGGCGACCGATTGATTGAAAAATGTTACGTATTTATTTACCAAGGTTTAATTTTTAACCGGAAGGATGCGCAGATCCTCCGACTCTGAAAGTATTTATGTCATTTGATGACTGACTGTCTTGGTGTATATTTCTATCTTCGTTCCACATATGGACTCATGAGATACGTGAGCTAAAAAAGATCCTAAAGGGAAGATTATGTTGCGTAAGAAATGAAAAGGAACGAGAGATACACCTTCATATACTGTATTTGATTTTGCAGGGTTTGCATGGTGAAACGTTAAATAAAGGTGGGGGTGTAGTGTTGTGTGTTTTACAGAACGGGAAGTCAAATCCAAGAAAGATCCAATAAGAATTGACAGCAGGTGACAAACAAAGATGTAGAAAGGCTTGGTTTTTTTAGATACGGAACAGGAGAAAACGTGTGAAGAGACTTTAATTGCGATGAATGATTACCGGAATTAAATATGGAAAAAATAAGAAAATTTATTTACATTGTTTGGACTGCTGTCCTCGTCTGTGTTGTTATATTCTCGATATTTCGGCCGTTGTACGCTCGGTCCTTCTTCAGGTGATTGGAATTTCGAACTGCACTCTTTCTTTCGTCCACGTGGGTAGATTGTTCTAGTTCCACGTGCCTTACCTCTTCCGGATATCTCGGTTATCTCGATTTAACGCAACTCAGTTTTTGTTCCCCACAGCAGTAGCCAGGTATTGAACTGAGAACTTTTTGGGTCAAGTCATTGGCTCCAACCAACGCTTTTATCCACTGGGCCATGTGTCCTTGAACAATAACTTGGAGAGCTCCTAAACTCCGCACGTGTTCTAACCTCAAATGTTTCAACTCTTGTCTCAGACGGTGGATGAGTTGTTGTTGGCCTTTCTTACACTCATCCCACACCCGAGGGGTTTCATAGATGAGCCACTTTGATGTTAGCAGCTCTGGATAAATTGGAATATTGGACCTCAATCGTCTCGCCATTAGAAGGGGTGGGAGGATATCTGCAGTCCATAGGGATCGCTACATGGACCAGTAGAGACATATATGGGTCCCTCGATGTTTTTTAGCATGGTCTATGTTATTTTCACGCCTGCATCTGCTTTGGAAAAATAATGGGTTCTTCGTAATGTATTGAAGTTCCCAAATACTCGCGAAGTCGACAAATTCTTTTAAAATATATTGACTTATTGAATTTCTTCTCAAAATCTCTGGTACTCCATGTATGGAAAATGTGAGTTTCAGTCTTTCTATTACTGCTCGGTTGGCAAGTGAATTCAGCCGAAAAAAATCTACATACAGACCAACTCCAGTTCTCAAACGTCTCACATGTCGAACAAATCAGTTTTCGTTCAGAAAATTAGAGATGAAAATGCCTCGGTTATTGAACAAAATTTCGGTTCTCGAACAACATTGCCGAAGCAAGTTAACCCGAACGGAATCATTTCTGAGTAGATCACCGTGTACATTCGTGTGTTGTGTACTTTTATTTTCCAATTTTCACAGTATAATACTGTGACCTTTTTTCTCTACATTGATTCCTATTGGAAAAATAGTTTCGGTTTACAAACATTTCGGGTTACGAACGGCTTAAATTCGTGAACCGAGGTTCCACTGCATTTGGAAAAATAGTCAATGACTACAATATACGGTGTTTTAGCTCGAATAAATTCGAAAGTAGAATATGCTATAGTCTCGGTGGGAATTTGATTGTTATTAGTGGTTCGGCCTGATATACGTCTAACCGTTATCAACCACATCCTTTATTTGGTTAGATAATTCTGGCCCACAGACTGATTGCGTGCTCGTTGTCGGTACATTGGTGACCGGAATGGATCCCACCGATTATTATTTGCCCAATCCACTGGGTAGGTTAGGGCTATGAAACGTGTTCCAAACATTTATAGGCCTTTCTCCCAGGTTATGTCCCCTTGATGGACTCAATACATCTTGACTTATATAGAGACTTGTTCCTTTAAGGTGTTAGTCTTTTTGACATATTTACTTATGCAATCACATATGTCATCTTTGTTTGTTGCTTCTCTTATCTCCGACAATCAGCGGTCTGTTGCAAGTAGGGTGCTCATATTGGCGTGAACGAACATTGCTGAACTTCCCTCAAGTTATCTATTTTGGTCCGTTGGCGCATTGCCAGATGTGGTTCTCGATAAGGCATCTACAATATACAGTTCCTTACCAGGAACATGATGGATTTTAAAACTGAATCTCGTCAGGTGGACACGAAATCACTGTATTCTGGCTCTAATTGTTCACTAATAGCTTTACTGCCTAGTCGTGGTAGAAGTGATCCGCCTCAATAGTGAATTACGATCCTATGATGCATATGCCTCAGTTTGTACGCTCATATCTTCCTGGTGCTGCAATAGTACTGCGCCAAATTCCAAAGACGAAGTGTCTGTGGATATTACTCTTCTCTTTGTTGGGCTGAACAAAGTACAGTCTTTTTCTTTATGTACTGTGTCCCCTCAGGACGTAGGCGATCATGGCTCTCAGTACTGCTGCTGAACGCCAGGCTTCTTTTTTACGGAGGTGAGGGACCTTCTTTGTTTGCTCTCCGACACAAAGGCATTCTTCTGACCTACGGCTTCGTCTTATCTGCTTAGTTTGGAATGGATTTCCCCCATTTGGTTCACCATTCCCAAGAATCTCCGGATTTCAGTCATATCTGTCAGAGCGGGGAAGTTATATAGTTCGGCGACAATATCTGGATCGGGCCTAAGACCATCTACGTTGATAATAATATTTTTTTTATAAGCAATTCGCCCCAAGCAAAGCAGGAGTGCCACTAGCACGCAAGGGGTTAAAGAATGGGAATAAAAGAGGAGTGTTTCGGAAAAGGATAAAAAGAGAAAGACAGGGATCAAGGTCAAGTCATCAGAAGATATCGATTGACATTACATTGAATATTTGAAGATTATAGCTATCAGGAAGCAAAGAAGTTCCACTGACGGGAGGTGTGAGATAAGAAGCTGTTAGAAGAG